GCATCGAAAATTGGCTTTCTTACTTTGCAAGTTACAGAGAAAATAAATGCAAAACTTTGACATTCCAGTCCATCATCCATTTTCCACAAAAACCTACTTTTGTTCGAAACTATTCACTCGAGAAGAGGTAATCCTTGAAATATCTCAAAAACAAAGGCGTTTAGAGACTTCCACCAAGAAAGGTTTTTTCTTATTAGAAAGCATGCACAAACACAAATCCGGCCAGAAAATTTTGTAATATGTGAGCAATAAAAAGCATGCCCTTTTAAGCGCCCGCGTCCACGCCACAAAAAAATCGACCAAATTGTAATTATTTAAGCGATTTAAGCGCACTATTTATTTTTTGGCATTTTTGAAAACCGCGCACTTTTCCATCCACACAAAGTACTTCCAATCCGCAATTTCCCCCTTAAAAGTGTGTGGTAAACACCCTGTATATGCGCCCACCGTATATATGAAATGCGACCATCCATCAAATCATTCTCACCTTGAAAGCATAAAAAATAAGGATACCATGATCCTTTATATCTAAAGCACATGCGATCGATAATAAGCACATTTATTGTGCTTATTATCCTTTAATAACGCCAGCCGGTATGTGTCGATTCTAAAAATACCGTAATAATTAGTGTTTAAAATTTTGCAATTCACTCCTTGCACCATTTACATTATCCTTTAACGATGTAAAAATTTCCTAGACGCCGATTGTTTAAACATGAGCTCGTTTTGTAGATAAGTCTTGAAGGGGACTTTTGGAGGTAATGGGGATGAAGTGATCTTTCCATTCTGTTCGTAAGAAACGCAGGCTTCAAATTTATGAAGTGAGTGTTTTATTAAATAAGTCGTGGATTAATTAATCCCGAAACCGGTGAATGAAATACTCAGGAATTTTCAGTCATCGGTGACTAATCAAATAAGCCAGTTTGATAATGATGAATTTACATCGCGGTTTTACATCATCTCAACTTGCATTTCAGTGGTAAATTAAATTTACCACATCGACAAGGTGATACAGGTGACTACTTGAATTTTCCTCCATTTTCAAATTGTTTGATTGTCTTCCTCCTTCCAACATCTTCAACCGACTTTCAATATAATCAATTCCTCAGTGAATGAATACCACAATTTCACTATAAATACCTTCGAACAACGATAAGGATATAAACCTCCGTCACTATTCAAAGCGATGGATCCCAGTATGGAGGTCATATTAATTACCGCCGCTTTTGTACTTCCAAAAGCCCCACTTTTGTTTAAATTGGCTGCTTTCTTCAAAGTCGGAAGTAGGGCCTTTTTAAACAAACCGTTAGTCGCAAAACTCAAAGGCTTCAACTAGAAAATTACCTTTGTCAGCAGTATGGGGCCTACAGTATTAACTGCAAAAGTTTCCAACAGCTGGTCAGCTTTCACAAAGCCGAGTCTAGTAGATTTGGGGGAATATCCAGCATTATTAAATAAAACGTTCAACCCTTCCGACCCAACAATTTCTTCCACACCCTTGGCAAATGCATCAAACGACTCGGTATTCCTAACATCTACTTCAATTTCTTACTTTATTTCATTCATTTTATGCATAAAACGTACCTAATGGTATTATATGGACGTTTTTGTGCTGGGATGCTAGTTGTTGCAGCTCCTGATTGAAAAATACAAAAATCGCATGAGTGCAACAAGGCCAACCTATAAATTTGTTAAATAGAAAAAGCCACAACATCTGCAAAGTAGGCGGGGCATTGCATCGTCATTGCTTTCCGTCTCTTTTCAATACACGCAATAAAGTCAGGAAGTGTTCTTTAGAATTCAATTAACCTTTTTTTATCTAATAATTACTGAATTATTCGATAAGGCCAGTGATGCTCGAGTTATGTTAGCACTTTATAAATTGCCCAGTTATGCACGAAACAATTGATATCTATTAGTTTCCACCGAATGGAATTGTTATCAGTTTTAAATCCTAATTTTATGCATAGTCATATACCGATCTTAACTTAAGTGAAATAACGTTTTGTCTTCTTATCTCCTCAATAGGATCAAGCGTATTTCTTTGAAGATTTATTAGCTGTTTTAGGTAATAGCGGTAATAAGAGCGTCACAGTTCAGGGGAGCAGCGCTCCCCTTATGTAAAACTGCGCGAACCCCCCAATTTGCCAAAAACAGCACCAAATGCAAATAAATATTAGTTTAATTAGCAAAATTTATCCTTAAGTATCTTGCTGGTTAAAACCATGGCGCTAATACAATTACTAGACGCGAAACTTTCACCAGATTCCCCTGATAGTCGACTATTTTTTCCATGGTTTTTATTGCCTGCCTACAATCGAGTAACCTTAAAAGTATTTTTTAACGCAGTTTGTTCCTGGTAAAATCATCAGTGATGTAAGTTTTGCAATATTATTCATCTTAAGTTGGCATTGTACGTGAGCGCAGCGTTCGAGCTGAGATCCACTTTTTTCGACCAAATTTCAAAAAAATGCCCTGCTGGAAGTCGAAGTCGAAATCTTACGACACGAAATCGGAAGGAAAGCAAAATTCAGATTCTAACTATCAGAGAAGCAGTGAAGTGAAGAAGGACTCAAAAAGGATTAATGGAGAGGCTAAAAGTGAGTTTTACATTGCAATATTTTTACTATTTAATGATTTTATGCCTTTATTTAATTATTGATGATGTTGATAGAAAATAAGGCAAACTTCGCTCAATGTGTATGCAAAGTTTGGCTGCTTCAGAAGCTTGGGCTAAATATTGAAAAATATTCAAAGTGGAACTTGCTACTTTGCAACGAAATGTACCCGTCATTCTTCAAAAATTTATTACGTTAATAATAGCTCAGATTGAAGTCTGGCTGCCTTAAGAACTTGCGCTGATTCTTGAGAAATTTTCAAAGTGAGACTTGCAACGTTTGCGACAAAATTTATCCGCCGTTCTTCAAAAATGTATTATGACCAAAGTAGCAGATATTGAAAAGCGCTTTCTGCAGCACTTAATAAAGCAAAGTTTACTCTATGTTTATTCGAACATTGGCTGCATTAGGTACTTGGGTTGAAATTTGCGAAATTTTCAAAGTGAGAGTTGTGACTTTTGCGATTAAATTAACCTGCCGTTTTTCAAAAACGCATTATGCCCAAAAAAGTAGAGCTTGAAAAGCGCTTTCTGCAGCACTTAATAAAGCGAACTTTACTCTATATTTTCTCGAACTTTGGCTGCTCTAGGTACTTGGGTTGAATTTAGAGAAATTCTCAAAGTGAGAGTTGTGACTTTTGCAATCAAATTTACCCTCCGTTTTTTCAAACAAATATTAGGACCAAAAGAGCAGAGGTTGAAAATCGCTTTCTGCAGCACTTAATCAAGCGAAGTTTACTCTATGTTTATTCGAACTTTGGCTGCCTTAGCTACTTGGGTTGAATTTTGAGAAATTCTCAAAGTGGGAGTTGTGACTTTTGCGATCAAATTTACTCAAAATTGATAATATACAATTGGATGAATTAAGAGCAAATAATGACCACAGCTATAATTTTTTGCACAATCCTCTTAAACTAGCGGATAGGGCGTGGATTGTCAAACTGGCCACCCTGTATATGTGCCACAAAAGGCAAACTATAATGTTTTTGCTGGCGACTGAAGCAAAAAGAAGTGAATACCGCAGTTCATTCACACTTAAGAGCCATTGAGCGTAATTAATATAAATAACACCCTTTAAAGCTGGAAGACTATGAGGTCGATCACTGAGTCAGCTCTAGCTCTGATTTTGCGATTGAATCTTCGAATGTCAAACGTTAATCACTTCGCAACTGTACGGTAAATAGATGCGAGTAGATAATTATGAAATTGCGGCTATACACGTAGCATGCGATAAGGATAATTTTACCGAAATGAAAGGATAATGAAATCAATGCCATGACAAGGCGAATTTCAAACATTCGAGAAGCGCAACTGCGTGAATAAATACTACATAGATATTAGCCGGGCTGTGTTAACCGTCTCTATTTGTTTGACGTTTCAGTTTAACCATTTGGTTAAGAAGCGCGCTTGTCGGTGGTTTTGTCGCCTCCTTTAGACAGGTTTTACGCCAATTTTTACCCCTCAGTGCCGAGTAAAGTGCTCATTTCGGTCTCAAATGGCTCCTATAGGTAAATATTACATTTCCAACTTTTTCAGTTGAACTGTTTCCTAACCTGCAAAACATACTGTGTACTTACCGAGGCTTTATCAACGCTCCGGCAAGTAGTAATCAGATTCTTCGGCGGACTGTCACTTTTTAATAGTGTTTTGACCAGTCCCAGGCCTAAACCACGATTGCAGCCCGTTATTAAAATCGACTTCATTATTTACCACTATTCTACCAGTGATAAAATCGAGGACAGCCCTGGTTGGAGGAGGAAACATCTGTTTTCACTCAGTCAAAGTCATCCTCGTGATGGCGTCAATTTTTTGTTTTAAAAATGTCATTTTTGGTAGTGCTTGTAAATTCCAAAACACCAAATTTCTGTTCTTTAAATCTCTGGAGTCGAGACCGATTCGATATGCCAGTAGCCTGAAGCCAACCAGTAAGTAACCGTAATGTTTCGACATTGAACCGAATGGATTTTTATGAAAGTGGTGATGCAATAACCTTCAAACTTTAAAATTGGGGCTGCAGTTTTTGCCTGTTTATATTCAAGTTTATGGATTAACCGCAGCTAGTTTGTGCAGTTGAAAAAGTCTGTTTAATGATAAGGATAATCTTCGCACTAAGGAATAGGGCTGCAGTAGAACGTGTGGATAACATCTTAATGAATGTGAGGATTGTCAGATTGCAGAAATAAATAAACCTCAATTTACACAGTTGATCCGAAGGGAAACCCACTTCTTTTTTCTGTTCATTTGTTCTTACGCACATGAAATTACAAAGCGTTTGTGTGGCAATAAATATGGGAAAACTCACTCTATATTACCTCAAAATTTAGTTCTTTTAGTGGCTTGGGCTGAATTTTGGCAACTGCTCAAGGTGACTCTTGTAATGACTTGCAACTGAATTAACACGCCGTTATTCGAAACTGTATTGCGCTCACACTAGTTAATATTGAAAAGCGTGTTTTGTGGCAATAAATAAAGCGCACTTCACTCTACGTTTCCTCAAAGATTGGTTTCCTTAGAGGCTGATATTGGGGCACTACTCAAAGTGAGATTTACGATAAGTTACGACTGAATTAAACCGCAGTTTTTTAGAAAATATATTACTCTCAAATCAGTTGAGATTGAAAAACGCTGTTTGTAGAAATAAAGAAAGCACACTCCACTCCATGTTTCCTGAAAATTTGGTGATTTCAGAGGCTTCCGCTGAACTTTGAGAGCTTCTCAAAGTGAGTCTTGCAATGACTGGCAAATAAATTTACCCGCCGTTATTCGAAAATATGTTGTAAACCAGTTGAGATTCAAAAACGCTTTATAAAGAAACAGATAGACCACACTTCACTATGTTTAATCAAAATTTGCTGTCTTAGGGGCTTCAGCTTTTTTGAGAAACGTGCAAAGTCAGACCTGCAATAAATTTTTACGTTCAAAACCATGAGTTGTGCCTTAAATTTAAGGTAACCAGCCAATATGAACCAGTTGGTCTTCCTTAATACCTGGCTTAGGCCTGACATTGAAACCCAACCTACTGACATGAAACATTTCTGATCAATTTTCCCCCAACATTAGTCTCATAGTTGAACGAAAGATCGAATGGCTGATGGAACTTCAACCAACTTAAAAAACGATTCACTTTTAGTGTCCATACCAGTCGAGCCTTCGGCAGGTAAATGGCGCTGCTATTTCAATTAGAACCCAACAATTCTATTCTCAAATTCACTTGGAAATTTCGTATCTTTGCAGGCGATTACGATTATGATCTTGTTGTGATCGGTGGAGGCTCCGGAGGGTTGGCAGCCGCCAAAGAAGCCACAAATTTAGGTGCTAAAGTCGCTGTTTTGGACTACGTAACTCCAACTCCTCTGGGAACGAAATGGGGCTTAGGAGGCACGTGCGTGAATGTGGGCTGCATTCCCAAGAAGCTCATGCATCAAGCTGCTTTGCTAGGAGAAGCCATACACGTGCGTAGCAATTTCCGAAAAATGGTGCTAATAAACTGAAAATCTCGCTATTCCCAAAGCGTATGACTAATTCACCTTCTTGTACTTTACAAATTAGGTCATGCCATGTGCTTGAATACATACATAACATTTTATCGATATTTTCGATGAATACTTCAGATAATAACATGCAATAAATAATAGTGGCTTCAGCACGTAACAAACTAATCAAGAAAAAGGGACTATCGATGAAACGCTGTAGCTTAATGAGACTGTATTTAGGACGCTAAAAGCTATGGATGGCAAGTGGGAGACAACATTAGCCACAGTTGGGAAGCGCTGAAGGATGCTGTTCAAGCCCACATTAAATCCGTCAATTGGGTTACCAGAGTGGAACTCAGAGACAAGTAAATCAGCTAAATGTTAGCTAAAGCCCCCTTTGATTCATTCGGCAACTTTTTGCAGAAAAGTGGAGTACATCAACGGGTTGGGGACCTTCAAAGATGCCCATACGGTGCAGACCATCACCAAGCAAGGCGAACGCCTGCTAAAGGCGCGTTACTTCTTAATAGCCGTTGGAGGACGGCCGAGATATCCAGATATTCCAGGCGCCGTTGAATATGGAATCACCAGCGACGATCTTTTCAGCTTGGACAGAGCGCCTGGAAAGACGGTTATTATCGGCGCTGGATACATCGGCTTGGAATGTGCAGGCTTTCTAGTCGGCCTGGGATATGAGGCCACTGTAATGATTCGATCTGTACCTCTGAGGGGATTTGATCAGCAAATGGCCAACATTATCGTAGCAGAAATGGAAGATAAAGGAGTGAAATTCTTGCAAAAGTACGCATAAAAATCGCCTGGGTACTAAGACGAAGCTCTAAAGTGTCTTTCAGGTCTATTCCAAAATCGGTGGAAAAGCTGGATTCTGGAAAATTGAAGGTGACATGGACCAATGAGGCCCAGCAGGAGTTCAGCGACGAATTCGATACGATCCTTTTCGCTATCGGGCGCAGGGCGCTCACAAAAGAACTCAACTTGGACACTGCCGGAGTCAAAGTGGCTGGAGATGGGGAGAAAGTCGACGCCGTCAATGAACAGAGCAACGTGCCTCACATCTATGCAGTCGGCGATGTTCTCTATGTAAATATTCCGCGTAGAACAGTTTGTTGTTTTTATCCTGCGAATTGTCACGTTGTTACAGAAAAAACCTGAGCTCACGCCCGTAGCCATTCATGCGGGCCGTTTGCTTGCCAGAAGATTATTCGGAAACAGCACTGTGAATATGGATTACGAGAATGTGGCGACAACAGTATTCACTCCATTGGAGTATGGCGCTGTGGGTGCGTACTATTACGATAAAAATGGAAATTTCGTTACCAGCCCGCTGGTTTTGCACATGTTCAGGTCTAAGTGAAGAAACAGCAGCCAGCCGCTATGGGGAGGACAACATTGAAGTGTATCACGCTTACTACAAGCCCACCGAGTTCTTCATTCCGCAAAAGAACATCAGGCATTGTTACTTAAAAGTGGTCGCTCTTAGGGAAGGCGACCAAAAAGTACTGGGCTTGCATTTTATTGGGCCGCAGGCTGGCGAAGTTATACAAGGATTTGCTGCTGGTATCAAGTAAGTCTGATTCATTCTTAATTGTATTTGGAAAAATAGGTAAATTTGAGTCAAACTTCTATTTGGAACTTCTTAATTATAGATGCAATTTGACAATGAACGCCCTGATGAGCACCGTGGGGATTCATCCGACCATCGCGGAAGAGTTTACTAGAATCAACATAACAAAGCGATCTGGCAAGGATCCAAATCCCGCATCCTGCTGCAGTTAAACATCTCGCACCTGGTTTTACTGTCTCGGTTTATATGTACTTTATCGTAAAAATAAATAAATAAGAGCATGTCATGGTTCAGCTCACTTGCCGCATTCAGACATTCTAACAAGCGTTGCACTGGAAATGAAAGTGTTTGTACTTTGTTCTACTTATCTACTGCTGTTGCTTTATTGTTTACTAATATTTTATACATTTTGCACTTTATTGAAGCTGAGAACGTATTGTGTGCCGGTGATATTACTTTTACTTGTGTCTCGTTATGTTGAAATGTGAATTGGTTTTTACAGTGCAAGCAAATGTTGAAATTATTAAGTTTATTTGGAAATAAATTATACTTTGATAAATATTGGTTGCGATTTATTTGTGCTGGTTTTGGAAGTTGGTGGGCACCAGTAGGGTGTTTTGTCAATTTTCTCTTTAGTGACAACTTATGATGGCCAGAGAAAGTGTCTGTTACTGCAATAAATCGAAAAGTGATCTGGAAAAGTTCGATTACGACCTGATCGTGTTGGGAGGAGGCTCAGGCGGTTTATCCGCAGCTAAAGAGGCGGCGGACCTCGGAGCCAAAGTTGCCATATTCGATTGCTGTGCAAATGCGGGCGATTTTCCGAAGAAAATCATGCATCAAGCGGCTTTGTTTGGGGAAGCTATCCAGGAAAGTACAGACAAATTGGGCGATCAATATATCGGTTCCCTGAAGAGAAAGCCTATATCTTTTGACGGAAAAATTACAGTTTAATTAACTAATTTAGGATTCTCGATTTTCTGGATGGCAAATTGAAGCCGACATCCAACATAACTGGAGAAGCTTGGAAAATGTTGTACAAAAATACGTTAAAACCGTAAAATGCGCTTTGAAAGCCGAACTCGCCAGAAGGTAAACGACGTTCCAACTTAGCTCAACAGTTGCTGGCAAAACCTCTAGACTAGCCAATTTTTAGAAAAATTGTACATTTTCCAACGAGCGGATCGTTCAAAGACCCGCACACAATTTTGCCAGCGAAAAGCGGTCACAAAGAAGTGACTGGAAAATTAATTCTGATCGCTCTGGAAGCCAGAGAACAATACCCCGATATACCTGGCGATGTACAGCTGGGAATTACCACCGAAGACCTCTTCAGTCGGGAAAAGTCTCCTGGAAAAACGTTAATAATTGGGGCTGGTTGCATGGGATTAGAATGCGCCGGTTTTTTAAACGGTCTTGGTTACAACGTAACTGTAATGAACAGGTCAGCGATGGCTCTCAAAAGATTGGACCAAAGTATGGCCTCTCATGTCGTAGCTGAAATGGAGCAGCGTGGAGTGAAGTTCCTAAGCGAGTAGGAAACGGGAAAAAACGCAAGTTTTGGGAAACCATTGGGAATTTTCTTTAAGATGCCAGGCGAAATCCATTACAAAATCTCCTGATTCCGAGAGACTCCAATGCACGTGGGTTGATGGAGAAAACCAGCAAGTTGCAGAGGATTTCGACACCGTGCTCTTTGCCATCGGCCGGAAAACTTACCTCACTAATCTCAACTTAGAAAAAGCTTCTGTCCGGGATTTTAACGCGGATAGTGGGCATATTCAAACGATAAACGAGCAGACTAATGTTCCTCATATTTTCGCTGTTGGGGATGTTTTGCATGTATTTAATTTGCTGCTCTTTCTAAGTCCCCTAGTAAATTTTTCTGCATTTCCAGGATAAACCGCAAATGGCTTCCATTGCTCTTCAAGCGGGCAAATTGCTATCCAGACGACTGTTTGCGTGCAGCCGAGAGCACATGGACTATGAAATATTTGGATTTGTCCTCTTTACTCCCCTGGAATACGGAGCTGTAGGTAAAATGCCCAACCGACACCTAAATAAGTGTCGCATAGAAAATCGGTGGTCAAGAGTTAAAAAAACGCTTTTTTTTAAATTTTTCCTTGATAATACGTTGGATGGATTTTTATCCAACCGTTTCCACAACAAGAGTGCGCTTTGGGGCACACATTGCCCCTCTTAAAAGCCACTTTGTTGGACCCCGCTCGAATTATTTGGATGTGCCAGTGGCGGAGACTTTACGGTATCGTTCTGGTAATTTCTCTTTTCATTGTTACGCCACTGGAACCATTGGCAATTTGATCGCAAATACGGAAGCGTCAATAAATTTTACACTAAACAGTGCTCTTGGCTAATTGCTCTAAAATAAACCGTTTTCGAAAAAAACGCAGAAGAGCACAGTGCAGAAATGAAAAGCCGCGTAAAACACTTGGATGTTTGAAAATTTATTGTGCGAGTATCAGCGCCTTAAATCAAATCAAATTTGAACCAGATATAGATTACGATTTTATTTTTGAGTACTAAAGTCCCCTTAAATTTACAAAAAGCAATATAGAGGATGGTCCAGGCGCAACGAAAAACTGCAGATTCATAGTGGGAAAAAAACCCTTTGTAGATACTGTAGATTCCTCGTCTGGGTGTTTTTTGCGCCGTTTAGTTTTGCACCATGGCCTTCTGAAGACCGTTTCGGAGCAATCAGTTGATGTATGCGATCAACTGATTGCTCCGAAACGGTCTTCAGAAGATCATGGTGCAAAACTAAACCGCGCAAAAACACCTCGACTCGGAATCTACAGTATCTACAAAGGGTTTCTTTCCCACTATGAATCTGCAGTTTTTCGTTGCGCCTGGACCATCCTCTATATTGMTTTTTGTAAATTTAAGGTTTAACTGAAGAATCAGCACTAAGCCGCTTTGGAGAAGACAGCATAGAGGTATACCATGCCTACTATAAACCGTCCAGTTACCTACTGACCCAGCGCTCGATTGAACATTGCTACCTAAAAGTGGTGGCTCTGCGTGAAGGAGCTGGGAAAATTTTGGGAATGCACTTTTTGGGGCCGAATGCAGGCGAAGTCGTTCAGGGATTCGTCACGGCAATGCGGTAATTTATCAATCAGTTCCGGGATTTAAAGCATTTTCACCAGGCTCAATTCTAGGTGTGGATTGACTGTTGAAAGTCTGCTGAATACAGTTGGTATTCATATTACAAATGCGGAAGAGTTTATTAAGTTGGACGTTACGAAGAGATCGGGTCTTGACCCGAAGCTCACACCTTGTTGTAGTTAAGTTATTTTTATTCGCCATAAGCACAAGAGTGTATTAATTTTTATTGGCTGTGGATTTATGTACGTGGGGGCCTGGTAGTAAGTGAATGAAAATACTACCAGTTAAGCATTTTAAATTTAAATAAATATAATAATTGTGTGATGACCACACGAAATCACTAGTTAGTGCGGACATAAGAAAAGGGCGTTTTAATGCATTTGTCAGCAGACAGTAATAGTGCGTTCTTAGCACAGTAAAGTACGTTTTCTCGTAAACTAAATTTTGTTTTACATTTTGGTGGAAAAAAATGTTTATGATATAAATGAGTTTGAATGAGACAAAAATTCCACAGTGAAATGAACGGGAAAAAGACGGCTTTTGGGTGTGAGAATCAATTCAGGAGGTTTTGACCGGAAATGACTGTCATCTAAAGCTAATAGAGGACGAGGAAAATTTGGCTGTTAGCGATTGGTTGCTAGAGCAAAATGTCATTTTAATCAAGAGGGGGGGATATCTGTGTCTTAGTGGATCGGAATTGATGTAAAAAAATGCCAGTTCTATTGTTTGAGGTTCCCAATAAAACACTGTTTCAATTTCAAAAAGGGCAATTGATTTTGTCATGTTTTTCCACAGTGAGCATTTCATAAAAATCCCATGCGAACCGAGACTAAATCAACACAATTTCAAATTTCTTTTCAATATTTAAAAATATGCGGAAAATATTTTATAATCTTTCGTTTATAACTGGATTTAGGTATTTTATAAACCCTCACAATTTTTGAGAAAAATCCATTTAATCAAAAACCTTAAACTCAACTTCTTTTTGTGGTGAAATCAGTCTCAACTGAGCGACCCTGTTTGTTTAGCACTCTTACCTACATAGAGGCTCCGCCTATAACGGGTAAACGCCATCTATGAGGAAGCTCACACATAGAGCCATATACAATGTGTTAGTGTGACATTAATCAATTGAAAGTCAGTTTGCTTAATAATTAAACGCAAAAAACGAGTAAAAATTCAAAATTATGGCTTACAATGCAAGAGAAGTGTTCACTTTGCGCGAGAGCCGAGACTTTAATGAAGATACTGCTGAAGAAAGCGCTGCTGAACTAAATGGCGGCATTTTCCTCTGCTTGTTGAACAAAAATGGCACTCTGGGCGCTGCTTATTATAATTTCATGGATAAAACTGTGAGTTATTGAATCTTATTGTTAAGCTTCATGTTTTATTATTTAGTTTAAATTCTATACAGGGTGAGGCAGTTTATGCTAACAATTTTCAAAGAGTTGTCAACATTTTATAGGAGCAATGATTCCGACCGGTTATAGAAATAATGATCGTTATTGATTTCTAATCGACTTTCAGCTGAATGTATACGAAGAAATGGTGGATTTGGCCCCACAATTTGTTATAACGGCCACTCTTTGCAGGGAAATAGCCCCTAAATACGTGCTCACTTTTGGATACATAACGGAAGAATACGTTAAAATGTGTGTGGACTGTTTTAGCTCTGAAACCGACACGACGACGTCCAACATTTCCAGGCTCCCTGATAACTTCTTCTTGGTGTCAATGAAGGAGTATAGTGAGTGCAGCACAAAGCAATGTTGCTTCTAAAGCAAACCACGGCACTTTTCCTTAGCTTATGAAGCGTGTAAAACAATAGTTTCTAATATCAATGTGGCGTCCAACACTTTGGACAACGGAGACCACAAGCAGGAAGTCTACTTTCGATCGTGCATCAACTTGAACCATCGGCTATCAGTTCAGGCGCTCGGCGCCTTGTACAAATATTTGGAGAAACACTGGTCAATGTTTGGAGTGGATCCTGCCGACCAGCATTTTTTGCACATTCATCAAGTTACTCTGTAGGTGTTCTAACAAGGGCGGATCCAGGGGGGGGGGCTCATGAAGGTCATTCAATTCTCTATCCAACGATGCCAAAACGAATTCTGTGGCTCGAATGGTTCTTGGGAAACTTCTAAAAAAGCAGCGTCATGTTCAAGTGGATTTTGCAACTCAAAAAAAAACCACGCAAATCTACAACTTCTTGAATTCAAGCATTTTTTGAGAAAACTGCCAACTTTTCTTATCGATGGTTCACTTTCTAAAAAGGCCATTTATTTCTGTCTAGAATGATGTACAAATGAGCGGTCTTGCTCATTTTGCCTCCGAGAAATGCGCAAAAATGGGACGGAAAACATGAAATTTTGGCATAATCTTGCACCTAAGTGTGTGATATTCAAATTTCGCTTTCTGGG